CAAGTGTCCATGGACCCAGGGGGTGATCGACGCATGGGCTTCATGAGGTCTCTTGATGCCTAAAATAACAAGAAGTGTGTGTGTGTGTGTGTGTGTGCACACGGGCGTGTGCATAATGTTTGTGTGTCTGGATGTGTGCCCATGTGCATTTTTCTGGGGGAGAAGCTCTGCAGTTTTCATCTCATTTTCAGAGAAAACCATGACCCATAAAAGGTTAAGAACCACACTAGGCCAACCCCCTCCCATCAGAGGTAAGGAAATTGAATCCAGAGAGGAAAATGACTGCCTGAGATATCACTGCCAAGACCAGAGTCCAGGTTTGTTGATATCATCTCCCTCTGGCTGGTTTCCTGAGTTAGGATCCAGCCCCTATGTAGTAGGCAGAACCCCAGATACTGTTTCCCATACCCTTCTGTCTGGCATGGATCAACTGAACAGGCCTGACACTTTCCATGGCCGTGGGCAGCTGGGCATTCACTTCCAGACATTCCTATTCCCAGGTAGTCTTATAGGGAAAGACGCCAGGGCCATCTTCTGACTTGATCCCTTATAGGGGATCTTAGCTTAAGACACTAAATCCACCTCTTGCGCCTTGACACAAGACGTGCCCTTGCCTTCTGGGAGAGGAACTGACACCTTTGGCTTGGAGAGAAGTCACTGGTGCTATGGGGGAGTGGGCCTAGGAATATTATATGATGGACAGGCAGGAGGCCATAGCTCATGGCAGGAGACAGATGCTGGTCCATTGTATGTGGGAGAAATTCAACTTGGTACCGTAGGAGTTTAGATGAAGTGGCACACGAGGATTAAAATGATAATTAACATTCATTGACTTACTATATGCCAGGCACTCTTCTAAGAAAAGTGCATGTGTTGACTTCTTTGATCTTTACAATAACCACAGAGGGTTATTAAAGTAAACTGAGGCCAAAGAGATTAAGCACACTAATTAATGTCTGAGTCAGGACATGGAGCCACATCTTCTGACTCCAGAGTGTTGAGTTACTTTGGAACCAGCGTGGCCCCTAGCCTCGGTGCTGGCAGATCCTACACCTGAGTGTGCATCAGAACCACGAGAGGGCTGATCAGAACACAAGTTACTTCTCCGAGTCCCCAAGTTTCTGACTCTGTAGGTCTGGGGCGGGGCCTGAGGATTTGTACACTAAGGCGTTCTCAGATGATACTGCTGTCCTAGAGACCATGCTTTGAGAACCACTTTCCTGCTTACTGATAGGAAGAGGTGACCAGAGGGAAGGGAAGTGGTTATTGATCTTGCCTGGATTATTGCAGTGCTCTCTGGCCCACTACCAGGTCCAGGTCTCTCCTGCCCTCTAGTCACTTACTCCTCACTAAGGACAAATTTATCTTCCTGAAGCCCAGCTCTGCCCATGTCATGCCTCCACTCAACATCTTCTGGATTCTCTGCCATGTGTACCAGTGCCATCCAGTAGAACCGTCTGGAAATGGTGCACATCTGCACTGTCCAATATGGTAGCCACTAACCACAGGTGGCTATGAATTTTACATTTCTTCCCATTTTAATTCATTTAAATTTAAATAGTCACATGTGGCTAGTTGCTAGACGGTGCGGGAAATCACTTGGTATGCCGTGTCATTCGAGGCTCCCACTGGTACCATATGCCTTCCAGCCCCAGCCTCAGCCCTTAGCATCCCTAGCTCAGGGCCATACGGGGCCAGTTTCCTGAGTCTACCCTGGACTCCCCAGCCCTGGGCCTTGTTTTATGCTGTCTCCTCCGTCTAGAGTGTCCTTCTGCCCTGTCTGTAATGCTCAGCCCAAATGCTCCCTCTGCCTTGAAACCTTTGACACCCGCCCTTCCCCCAATCTCTTTCTCCTCTGAACTCCAAAAGCACTTTCTTACAGCCTTTAGTACTTTTTGCCTTCTATTGCGATTGGCTGGTGCTGGTGTGTTCTCTCAACTGTGAGCTTTCGGAGAGCATGACTGTTTGCTAGTGAGTTCTCGCTGCCCAGCTCAGGTCCCCCCAGGCACACAGAGGAGCTCGCTAAATCCCACAAACCTTTGCCCTGGTGCACTGGGGAAACAGAGATGGATAATGTGCCCTTCCTGTTCTCAAGCTGCTCACGGGCTCTCAGGAGAATCTGATTCATGTCCAGAAAACCACTGAAGCCAATGGTTATTTTGGGCAGGAAGATAAAAGCCACAAAGGGCCAAGTTGGCGAGGGAGTCCGGCAGGAGCCACCTAAGCAGAAGGCTGTGTTTGTACACACAGAAAGCTTCTCTGCCCACCCTGGCCTGGTACAAGGAGTGGAAGCATCCAGACATCACGGCCTGGCCACCTCCTGAAGCTGGGGACTAACCAGTGATACAGCGACTGCTCTCACCATCTGATCCCTGCATATGGGTGGATGGGGAGAAGAGTCTCACCATCTGATCCCTGCATATGGGTGGATGGGGAGAAGGTTGCAAAGACTATAGAGCTCTGCCAGCTTCTGGAAGTAGAGTGTTGGCCGGGTGGCACCTGGGCTGGGAATCTGAGTACGAGAAAATGTTCAGTGTGGTCTGAGCAATGGGCAGCAGGTGAAATTCTGCTTGGCCTGGTGTGGGAGTTTTGAGCTTTTGAGAACAGTCCTGGTTGAAAAGAGAGAAATAGCATTCTAGCTTCAGAATCTAGTACTAAGAGTATTCTACATCCTGAAAATCTCTAGCATATATTCATCTCTGGGACAAAAGCCTGTTTTAAAAAGAGAACTTTATTGAGGTGTACCTGGGTGGCTCAGTTGGTTGAGCGTCTGACTCTTGGTTTCAGCTCAGGTCGAAATCTTGGGGAACGTGAGATCGAGCCCTGCGTCAGGCTCCACGCTCAGTGCAGAGTCCCCTTCTCTCCCCCTCCTTCTGCCCCTCCCCCTGCTCCCTCTCACGCGCTCTCTCTCTCTTTCTCTCTCAAATAAATAAATCTTTAAAGAAAGTTGACGTTATAAATGCAGAAAAGTACACAGATTATAAGTTTACACATACTTGTGTAACTATAGTCCAGACAAGAACCAAAACGCGACCAAACTTCTAGGAGCTCTAAGAGGTGGTGCCAATATCTCCACGGTAAATTTGTGATAAACCAAATATATGCAGGATTAATGACGGAAAAGCACAGGCTCTGGAGTCAGGTGTGCCTGCAATTGAATCCTGCTCCCCGCCCCCAACTAGCAGTGTGACCTTGGTTTAGTGACTTCACTGCTCTGAGCTTCAGTTTCCTCCCCCTGTAAAATCAAGTGCATATATAACCTCCGCTTTACAGGGCAGTGAGAGATTAAAAACTGAAAATGAATCCAAATTGCTAGGCACAGTGCCAGTACGTAGTGGGGACTCAGCTGCTCTCCGCAAGGGTGATGTGGATTGATGGTGTCACTGCAGCATCTTCTGGCACATGGGACCGCAGACGCATCGCCACTTTCCTCCCACTGCCTCTCGCAGCTCCCAGCCTCTGTACGATAGTCTCCAAGGTCTCTTCTGACTGCAAGGAGTCTGCGATGCTCTGACGATGCAGACCTCAGCTGACACCTCAGGCCCCTGATGGGAGGCTGGGTGGACGGATATCTGTATCGAGTGGGACGGTGGCCAGATCTTTCATGTTCAGGCCCCGGGAGTGTGGCTGTCGGAGCATGGGGCTCCATTAAGAAATGTAGCCAAGGTGGCGTTGGGGTCAGCAGAACTCAGCCTCAAGAGTGTCCTGGCATCCCGGTGAATTCTTACTTCCCGCCTCTGACTCTGGGAGTGAGGATGGCCCAAGGGACACACAGCACACACATATTTTGAGCAGGGCCCTCATGGGGAGAAGGATGAAAGTGGCCCCTGCCATCAGGTTCACAGCAGACCGGAGTTAAGACCTTTCAGCACTTCTCGTGACCCAAGGCTGGAGGGCAGAATGCGGGAGGGAGAGGCCCAGAGTTTCCTTCTATCTGGGAGGGGTTGTTGCCAAGAGGAGGAGACCAGGAAGGACTTCCTGGAGGATGCCTGGATGAATGACCATGGGAAAAGGAGGAGGGGTCTCCCGGGCAGAGGAAAGAACACGGGCAGAAGCAGAGAGGCAGGGCTGGGCCGCCGACCTAGGAGCCCGGAACCTTTCATTTTGAAGGAGCTTCCCACCCAGAGCCTGAGGATAAGGCTGAAGAACCAGGTGAGATCAGCCTGTGAATGGTCTGGAAAGTCAGGGTGAGGAGTTTGGCTTGCTTTATCAGAGAATGGGGGACCACTGAAGGTTCCTCCACTGAGGAAGCGGAGTAGGACCAGCTCCTGGAGATTTGCTCAGTGGAGACCAGCAGGTACACATTTGTCCAGAGCTGCATTATTTTTTGGCCAAAGATGGTAGCCAAATGTCCAAGCTACTGGAGTGGGCTCTGAGAGCCCTTTGGATGCGCGGACCGGCGCAGAGGCCTGGCTGTGGGTACAGAAGGGGGAGGGGAGGCCAGAGAGGAGGAGGAGGAAGGGCGAAGGGGAAAGTAAGGCTCCCACCTTTGCCAGATTGCAGTCTTGTTGGGGAAGCCAGAGAGCCTCATGACAACAGAGTTTCGAATTCAGAAGTGAAGACATGAAATGTGTGGTCCAGTAGGCCAGAGGAGGGACAGGCTGGGTAGAACATGGGTGGAGGAGGCAGGGAGGGTGAGCTTCCTGGAGGGGAGGCAACCTTTGGAGGCTTTGGAGAGACTGAGGGTACCGCAGGGCATGCTCAGCCCTTTGTGGGTATTCTCTCATGTCCTCTTCTAGGAGCTCTAAGAGGTGGTGCCAATATCATCCCCATTCTACAGAGATGGGAACTGAGGCTCAGAGAGGTTAAAGCCTTGCCCAAGGTCACACAGCTCCTGTACAAATTAATGAACATCCCCCATCCCTGCCTCTGGCCCCCTCCCCAGAGGTAACTGTTGCCCTTGCACTCTTCAGCAGCACCACACTAGATCTAGAAAAGCGCTTTGTACTGTGTGACCCGCTGTGCGGCTTGGTCATCATTCCACACCAGAATATGACCTAATGCGGGAGTGTGTGGCTCCCACGGTCTGGGCTGGAAGGTTCCAGGGAAGGGTGGTCCCTGGGGACTGCAGCGCTTCAGGAGCCTTCCTGGAGGAGTCTGAAGGCGAGGAGATGGGGGGCAGCTGGAAGAGGGAGGTCCCTGCCAGGTGAGTGATGCTGCCTGTCCACCCTGCCTGCTCTCTAACCCAGACGCAGCCACCCTGCAGTGCCTTCCAGAGAGCGCCAAGGACCAGTGAGAACAGCCTTCTCAGGCAGACTGTCCCAGGCCTGTGGGTCACGCTGCTCTGGAAAGTTTGGCTCTGGTAGCTTCCCCCGGAGACTGGCCCAGCTCTCAGCTGCCTGGGGCTGCAGCTCAGCCCCGCCAGTCCCTGCAGCCCTGTAGGGCCAAAGCCAGACGCCCTGCAGCTTTCTTGCCCTGGAATACCCTCCTCGCCATGACCTTGCCTTTAACCTAGCTCAGTTTAGGCATCCCCTCCTCCAGGAAGCCTTTTCTGAGCCCCAGGGGCTGGGTTAGGACTTCAGATTATCTAAACCCGTGCCAACTAAAGGAAATGTCGTGTGAGCCACATATGTAATTTACAGTTTTCTAGTGGCCACACGAAAAAAGAAAAGCAATAAGAAACCAATGACATATTCTAATGCTACATTTCATTAACTCAATACATCTAAGATACTTCAACACAAAAATTACTGAGCTATATTACACTCTTTTCCAATTAAATCTTCAATGTCCAGTGCCAACTTTAGACTTAAACACACCTCATTTGCATCCGTCCCAGTTCAAGTACTCAGTAGCCACATGTGGTAGCGACTACCATAGAGGGTCAGCACAGTTCTGGAGGCAGGAGGAGAGCATAAGGGCTGACTCTTAGTGTTTGGCCTCGGAAAGATACGGCAGTCATATCCTGGCTCTGCCATTTCTTCGATGGGTGAACTTTGGGAAGTCATTAACCCCTTTGAGCCTTACTTACTTTAGCTGTAAAAGGAGTGAAGGATTTCGATGCTAGAGAATGATTGTGAGCATTCCACAAATGAATGTGTGTCTAGCGTCAGGTACAGAGTAAGTGCTCAGAAAATGGTGGTGATTCATCTTACAGTGTGCCCTCCGATGGGCTGGCTTATGTGCCGTTCTCCCCCACTGGACTGACTGTGAGTCCAAGGATGGAGGCTACCCAATTCCTCTCGCCTCCCTTGAGTCCAGGACCTGGCTCAGTGTGAACATCACTGCTTGCTGAATGAAAGATTAAATCCTTGTGCTCGGAACACTAGCCACCCACCCTTACCCTCCTGCCCACCCAGGAACAAAGGGGCCCCTGCTGGCTGGGAATCACGAGACCTCTGACTACTTGGGGTGACCTTGGCAGAGGCCACTGAAGATAAAAGAGGGGGTAGGAGGGGCCCTGCTCAAAGTGTTTGGTGTCATCTCTGCCCCAGCCCTGGGGGGCTATTGCTGACACCTTGTGCTTTGCCTTTCCAGCCAATGGAGCGAACCATTTCCATCCTTCTCCAGGCTTTCCTGTATCCTGGCACTTTTCCGTCAAGTTCTCTGGAGTTAAAAAAAAATTTTTTTTAAAGATTTTATTTATTTATTTGAGGGAGAGAGAA